GCGGCGGTACTACCCCCCCGGGTAGGGGAGGCGGTGGCGGCGGTACTACCCCACCGGGTAGGGGAGGCGGTGGCGGCGGTACTACCCCACCGGGTAGAGGAGGCCGTGGCGGCGGAGGAGGAGGTATTGCTCCACCAGGCAGTGGAGGTGGTGGAGGAGGTGCTGCTCCACCAGGTAGTGCAGATGCTGGAGATGGTGGCGCAGTCTCACTTGGAAGGGTTGGAGGTAATGGAGGACCCTGAAATATAAAAGAGGAATTCTTTTCATCAGGGTGGGGAGGAGGTTTAATATGAAGTTGAACCAACTAGGATGCCTTGTAGTCAACTGTACCTCAAGAAAGTGAGAAATGCAACCATTCTCCTATTTAAATGAGAAACAACAACAACAGAATATACCATGTACCATAAAACTGCCAAGTAAACTGAATAACCTACCATTTTTATAAAAACATATTGTTTCCATTTTAAAGAAAATTTAATAGTAGCAGTAACATTTAAGTGAACAGAACAGCATTTTATTTCTTACCAATGCACAAAACATTAATCCCACTTAGGATATCCTGGCAAGCTGGGGCATCAGAGATGGTAACAACCATGCTGAATTTTAACAACGTTAATCTGCTGGTGGAAAATTATCCACAGAAATCACTGAGGCAGCTATCACAGTGCAAGAGGTTATAGGACCACAGCTGTTCATAACAATCCTGACATCTTAGGGCTGGGGCAGGAGGGGGAGATGGGACACACGGTCCAAAACAATCATACTTCCTTTTAAATCTGTCTGTAGTTGTTTCTGTGTTGACAGGAAGGAAAAGCAATCACAATATCCATTCTAATAAGTTGTAAAAGGAACAATGAAGAGAAACAGCAGCATGTTAAACCATCAGAGAGATTTCTGTAGTGATAATGTGATCCTAGCCTAGCACAAATTCCTCACAGATTTTTGTCCTTCGCTAAAAAGCAGCATTGCGAGCTATGCACAAACCACCAGGGGAGCTTGTATTCTATTTCCTCTTGTAATTTTTATTATAAAATTATTATGTAATATAGGCTTTTCATTTAATCTAATTTGCACACTAAAAAACTACACAATTATCTACTGTTTCTAGTTTAAAGAAAGTAAGAGTTCGCACAAAAAAAAAAAATCAATCCGAGAAAAGTCTGAGTGCACCTACAAATAACTGTCACAATAAACTGTATGAGGAGCATAACACTAGAGGAAAAAAAAAAAGGTATAGATACTACAAAGCTAGTGTATCTCTTTTAATTGTATCATTATTGTGAATGAGCTGTAATGTCTGGACAATCTGAACTCTGTTAGAAGCAATATAGCAGGATTCATAATTAGACTAAAAATAAATTTTTGGTCAAATTTCAGTGTAATATTGTCCTGTAGATATTTGTAACAAACACTAAAATTGGAAAGAACGAAGTATGAACAGAAGCGGCTGTGTGAAAACAGAGTAAGAAACCATAAGACGCCACAGGTTACAAGAATGACTTGTACTGATAGCAAAGGACACAATGAGCAGCAATCCAACTGTTCAACGCCATGTAACATGCCCACGTTAAGGTGAGAAGGTCAGTGCTCTGATGAGGCTACAGCACAGACAACTTGACAGCAAAAGAAAGCAGGATGATGGCAACCAGGTTATAACACATCATATGCTATTCTTTCTCTTCTTCCCCAAAGAGAAAGTGAGACCACAGGCATTAAGATATCCACAACGAGGAACAAAGGCAACAGGCAGACCATGCCTAACATTGAAGGAGGAGGAACTAAGCCAGGCTGAGGTAAAAAAAAACCAAATCATAGTACCTGTTGGTTCCTAAGATATAAGAGACCTGTCTAAAACCTAATTCATTGTCATTAAACAAAAGAAACTCAAGACTTTCCAAGAGGCTTAACAGGCAGCATTTCTTGTCCTCTCTGCTTCACTAGTGATCCAGGACAGATCACTTGGAGATACAGTTTTGGTGCTCGTGAGCAAAATACATGAGGAAATGAATGCAAGTAAAATCAGCTTTGCTGAAATTAATTATCACCTTCCACTTCCATAAGGTCTTGTATTTTTTGTGAGATTTACCTGTAAGACTGTATAAAGCTAGTGCAATATTCATTTTAGAAATGGCTATGAGTACCCAGAGTTCAAAAAAAAAATTTATCAGTGGCATGCACATGCTGAAAGGTATATATATGTGCATGTACAGCTATCACGATTTCCACCTTTGCAATTCAAGTATAAAGCCTTCCGAAACAAACACTTTCTGCAAAACATACAGAAGTAATGATGTAAAAGTATAAACAAGTACTTCGAAGAAAAAAAAAAAACAACTCAGGCTAGATTCAAACTTCTCATAGCCTAAGGAAATTTCTTCCTCAACAAACCAAATATCTGTGACAGACGTTGAATATACTACTGTTTGCAAACAATGTTACCTCCATGAACTATCCTTCACAGCTTACGCTGGCTTAGAAACAAATCAATACAACATACCTTTCAAACTCCATAGAGAAGATACACTCCCGGGCAATTAATTTTCAGCACTTTTTTTGAAATAAAATTCAACTGTGGAACTTAATGCGATTTAGTTTTATTACCTGGGTTCGTAGCTGTTTGATTTCTGTTTCAAGTTCTTTGATTTTCTCTTCTCGTTTCTGAAGCTCCGCTTGTGCCTCTTGACGAGCTGTGAATTCTTCATCAAACTGTAAAGATTAACCAGCGCAGAAGTGTTTGTCCATTTATGTCCACATTAGATATTATACTTTCAGGAATTCATTAGACAATATCAGAACTAAGACCAATAGCCGGACTTTTAACTTAAAAAAAAAAAAAAAGTATTTTTCCAGTATGTCTTCTAGTACAACATAATTTCTTCCATCCGTAAGTCATGACACAGAACTACTCAGATCCAGCTACGTAGTGCAACTGGAAGTTTGACAGGTTTTTTTCCCCTCTGACAGAACTTTGCAGACATCTTAAATTAAACTCGGGTATGCATATAATACAGTGAGCTCAAACCTGCAGAGAAATGTGTGCAGCTTCAGCAGTATCATCCATAAGGTGACATAAGAAAGGAGGTATCCAAAGAAGTCAGTCATCCCTTTAGTCTTTATGCCCCCATATAAAATGGCAGTCCAGTTTACAACATGATTGTGAAAAATTTGCTGTATATTTTCATCCTACTGCTGTTTGTTAGGCTGAAGAGATTATTAGCTTCTTCAACAGCTTCTGCTATTCTTTCTTCCAGAGGACAAAGTAACTTATCACTAGGAAGAATACATATTGACTGCCACTAACAAAGTATATTATGATAAATAACTCTGCCAGGGAAGCACCACAACAATTTGGTTTCTATAAAGCTCAGACACCATAATTCCTATTAAAAATGCACCCACATTTAACACTGAAGAGAGAAAAGCTAACAACTTCATTCAGCTCTTCATTTGAAATTTGTAATCATGATGTTCGAGAGCATGTACCGCCTTTTGGCCTGCAAAAGGCTTCTTAGGCCAGACCAAACATCAAAATTTTGAATGCTTTTAATACACAACAACAATGTGTATGAACTTTAGCACTACTGCAGTTAATACAGTACATTCAGCATTTTATCTCCTTGGACAGGATGTGATGAGCCGAGATTAACAAATTATCCAATAACATACTCTAGGAAACAGGAATTTAAGTAACTTTTGGAAACCACGTTTAGCAAGATACATTCAGCACAAACACCAATAGTGATAAAACCAGAAGTATAAGCGTGAATTTCTTCAGAAAAAAAAAAAACAACAAAATTTTATTACAAGAAACACACTCCATTGCAATTCTTCCTACAGAAAGAATTTTATCTGTCTATCCTCTCCTGTACCTACTAAGAAATGAAAACTGCCCATGACCGAAATAGGACTTATTTACCAAGCTCCCAATAAAAGAGAACTGGACTAAAAGAATAAAAATGCTAGCAAAACAGGTTCCAAAATGCACTGTAAGGTTCCTAAACGTGAGTAATAAGGAAATAAATCATTCTCCATCATAACAAAGCAATTTATCGTGGGCTTTATAAGAAAACAAAGCAGTATTTTAGTGTTAGCACCTCTGTGCCTAAAGAGTTGATGCTTTTTCAAACATTGAATGACATTGCTTATCAACGAGTTTCCTCAGGTTCTGAAACAATGCTAGATGAAGAGTTATCAGTATTCCCCCCACACCTTTTTCTTTAAGCACATACCTTCCCTTCAGGTATTTAACTATGACTAAGTATTTCAGGACAAAATAGCTAGTGGAATTTTTCCCATCAGTTGTCTACAGGAATACAGCTGAAGATACATAAGCTGGAATCTGAGCCTTGCATACACACAGAGCACTTCAATGTGAAAGAACATCCTGCCTGTGAGATACACTATTTCCCACTTTCCACTGCATTTCTTCTGTGAAGCAAGCCTGTGATGTTTGAGTCAGCCTTTTGTTCCATACCCTAAAAAGAGTGACGATTAGGACTCACCTTTCTGGAAAATTCTACTGCTTTCTTTTCACTCTCCTCTACTTTAGCTTTGTCCACACATGCATCTAGATTTTAAACAAAATACCACACAGAAGTCAGGTAAAACATATCACAGCTCTGAGGTGCCTTCCAGCCATAACTACCCTATAACCCCATAACACAAAGAAAAACAAAAAATACAATGAATTACTAGGTTGTTCTGGCCAAACATCTGGTGAATTATTTTGATAAGCAAAATCTGTAAATATAAGAAGTGGTGAGGACACGTGACCAAGAAAGTTGAAGATCATAGTTATTCTGTCTCCAACATATTTGTTTGCATGTCCTTCTCTTTTATATGAATCTACTACTAAATAAGAGATGAAAAAAGGATTTTTACACTAGTATGAAGTAATAATTAATTCTGAGGTTTCAAACTAGAAAGCGTCCTTTTCAGATCAGGAATCCAAAATTAGGCATTTCCTTACTTCAGTAGAATTATTCCATAGGCAAGAAGAATTTGAACAGACTGCACAGCACAGATTTTTTCACTCAAGAATATTACAAAACACTTCCACTGACTTTTACGTAGTGTAAAACTCTAAACTTTTTATAAGTGAGGTAAATACAAGTAACTATGTATTACAGGTAGGAACTGGCACGGAGAGACAAACCAGTTATCCCTAAAACTAGTAGGTCAAGGGAAACAGAAGGCAAGGTGAGGCAAGACCTTAATATAAGATCAAGTGATCATGTTCCTGGAGTCATAAGTGAACAGAAAAGGCAGAAATACTTCTTAGATATGCAGGATACCTTTAAGAAAGCAATTTCTCTCCTTTTCGCTGTCGCCGCCCCCCCCCCCCCAGTCAACCTGTATAACATCCTTTCTTTGCTCCTTTTGTCACATCACCAAAAAAAGAACATTTTCCCAAATAAATGCATTCTCTAAGAGTAATTACTTGCCCCTATGAAATATTTACTCCAGAGATGCCCTTGTATTTCAAGAACACTATCTACCCCACCAATCTTCAGAAAAGCATAAAACACTTATCAATGCTGGTAACTGTCATTTAAGTAATATAGTATTTATTCAGCTGCTTCCTTCCCATATGACATGAACATCCACAGACCCTCAACGCTTTAACTGATTAATTTGCCTTAAACGAACCTCAAATACTTGGAAAATATTACAGAAAATATTCTTAGAATGAACCTTATAAAAACTATAAATCCACTAACAATTAATGCTAATGTAAATTTTTCTGTTTGTAACATACTTCAAATTCACAGAATTTATGAAAAAGCAATTTTTGGTTAAGACTATGGTATTCAGATACAGGTCAAGACAAATTTGGAGAAGAAAACTCTATCAGTGTCTTTTTACTAAAAGCTGCAGAGTCTGATCTGGCCTTCTCCACAAGTACACCTGTAGCTTACATGCATATTTCCAGAAAACTGAAAGAATTCACACAGTCAATTTAAGTCTAGACAGAAGAATACAAAGAAAAAAGTGTACTTCAGTAAAACAAGGTAAAGTTGCTTATAATATACAAACCAACAAGATGAGTAAAATCCATGTCCATTCTTCCTCTACATTTAAAATCCGGGTCCATGCCACTGCAGTGCAATACTATCTGTGATACGCATTCTTCTATTATCTTGTAATACTGAGGTCTAAAAAAGAAAACATTTTACGAGATAATAAGAATATGAACAATCACATATGCAACATGGAGGGGAAAAAAAATGGCAACATTAACTCCCAATATATGAATTACACAATTGTCAGTAAAAGGATCAAGATAAAAGTCTTATTTATACTCTGGCTAATAAAGCACTGTTGTCAGTTTCTCAGAAGGATATCTGAAGCTCAGGACTCTGCTAAACACTGTGCAGTTTTCATTTATCCTTTGCCAGACAATAATAAATAAAACAATGTCTTTAGTATTTTCAACATATGCTGCAAGAATTATTTAGCACATTCTCAACTCAGTGAATTCCATCACTGGCAGCAGTACCAGTATTCAACTACTTAGAAAATGAGTTAATAATTAACTTACTTGCTTGATATACATCTCTACACAACATCAGGAACTTCTAAGATTAGGGGACTCTGCTCAAAATTGTTAGTTCTCACCAGTGCAAGACATTACATCTCAATTTCACATACCATTGAGCTCTCAAAGTAGTAAACCTTCAAACCTAAATTGATGATATTCCAAACTTCAAAATTAAAAAATAAAACCCCAAACTTCAAGACTTCTCAGGCTATGTTTTGCTTCTTAATTTTATCATCTTGCATATCAATTGTTCTTATCATGCCTTTATAGCAAAAAAACTACTTCTTAAAACAGGATTTTATAAGTGGTAGTTTGACACTGCTAAGACACTACAAGATGCACATAAGTGAAGCTTACATTGAAAAAACAAGACACCAGGCACTGAAAGTATTTTCAATTATTAGTTACTCAATTAACTTCCAAGTTCTTTGAAGTCATGAAGCTATGAAACTTCAATAAAGGAAAAAGTGCTCAACAAGTCAAGAGATTTTGGGAGGAGGGTGTTAGAATAAGGTTCAAGTCTTTGAAATAAGCATTATTATATTTAACAAGGTGTTTTCAATATTAACATTGAGCAGAAAAACAAATAACACATCAGTTACAGAGCAACTATTCATGCGTGATTATGAGCGACTCAGTTTACCAGGGTCTTGACTTCTGTTCCTCCCCCTACCCCTTCCTAAAACCAAACCTGACAGCTGACACTTACCGGACATAATAATCATTCCTGATGAGAAGAAAATGTTGGAGAATTGACAAGAAGTAATTTTCAGAAGACGTATCTTTCAACATGTTATACAGCAGATGAAATACTTCATTCACATCAGTGCAAACATTGTTAAGGAAACACAAGAACTCAAAAACCAAAAAATTTAAAAAAAAAGGACAAAAACCTCTCTACACACCAAAACACCCACCCCATCCCAAACCCAGTTCACCAGATGCTGTTCATGTTGTTCAAGTAAAACCCTTCAACACTCTGAACTACTATCCTTATTAGTAAATATCCTTTTTCCACTAAGATTATCCACAGAAACTCTGTCCCCTGTCTAAAAACTAACGCAGGTTTCTTTACTACTCAGAAAGATCATACTATATACTTACTACATACTTATTACTACAGAATCCTGTAAAATATCTTTTATACGAGGCTTTCATTTTCATTCTGAAGTGAGCCAGGCTATTGGCAAATACACTCTAGTCAATCATTACAACTTCTTAAAGGAGAAAAATAATTACCTGTTCTGCAATGCAACAGCAATGATAATAATGCAACAACCCTGTCGTTGATTGCATCTACCTTCTTCTGTTAAGTACCAGCTGCTACTCTTATAAAAACTGCAAGCAACCATTCTGAACTCGGGTAACTTGAAATTTACTGCTCCTTCACAACTGGAGAAGGTGTGCATCTCGCGTGCTTCAGAACCTACTACAAATCTTGTTCCAACCTAGTTAATAAGAACTCATTTTCCTTCAAACTCAATGTTCCATGGGTATAATTTTATATCTTCATGTATTAGAAGCCAGAGTTTAGCTTAGTGAATGTTATTTATGAAAAATTAATTCAGCTCCCAATAACTTACATTTGACATGCAAATTGAAGCACTAATTTTCTAAACAAATTTTTAACACAAAACAAGCGGAATCTGCTTGATAAAGTCCCTGGTAAGATACACCACCGTGACAAACTGCACATAGAACATTCCACCTTATGTTTAATATAGTTACTAAACAATGCAACAAGTTGTAACACCTTTTCTATAAAGGATATTCCATTTCAGCTCTGATATCATTGAGACGATGTGACAGTTCAATTAAGTCGTCTTCTTTGTTCTCATCAAACACTTTCAGCTGAATATCAAGCTCTTCATTTTCCTTATCTTTCAAGACCTATTTTTCAAGGCATATATCTTAATTTTCCCTTTCTTAAAGCAAGAATTCACCCCCTTCAATGATTATATCATGATAAAACGTAAGACATTAACCTTTGGAATAGCAGTAAGCTGTAACTCAGTGCCTGGGTTTGTTTATTGTAATTGCACAACTGAGAAAAATTAAAGCAAAATATCAGCAAATACAGCAGGTATGGGCTGCAGAACAAATGTGAAGCCTTCTAATTGAGTTGAGCTCTCTTAATGGGACATAGTCAGCAGTTTATGCTTTTTAATGTCAGTTTCTTCAAAAAAAATAGCAAAAGGATATTTCAAAACATTAATTAAAGTGAACTTAAAAAGCCGAAAGAAGTGTAAAAAAGATATGCTTACAATTTCTGTTATTAAGTTACTGGAGATCATAGCATAAAAACATCCACAGCATATTGAGAAATACTTTCAAAAATAAAAAAAAACCAAAATTGGTACTTGGAGCAGGGAAAAGTTTGTTTTTCTTGTAAGAAATATAAGCATTGTCTCCAATACACTTAAGAATCGAGTTTAGATTCCTACTAGGCAAATCACAAAAATGAAACTAGTTCAAAAGCTGTTACTGTGAATGCACTACATGCTTTAAATGAAAATCGGCCTGGAATTGTCATAACTGGATACGCACAAACTGAATGGCAACCATGTATATTCCCAAAAAAAGTAGAAACTCATATTAGTTCTAATGTTTGAAAACCAGAAATGGCTATGGGGAATCTGGACAGACTGAGAGAAATACGGATCCTCCTCTTGATGTTTTTTGTTCAAGAAACTCTCATTTACAAATTTCTTGAAAGTTTATCCCTAAGCACAGATAAGAGCATGAAGTCTTCTTAAGATGCTTTGTCATTAAGAAAGTTGATTTGTAATCTAAAAAAACCACTCCTCTACCTTGGACATTGATTCCATGCAGAATTAATGACCTGAGTTCAATGTGTACGTTGTAATTAATACATTATAAATAGACAATAAGCAAGACAGTACTGACTGTTTTAGTTGATATTACAGATTGTATATTAACTAACCTTACTAGATTCAGAATTTCAACACAATAGGTGTTCAAGATTTTTAGAAAAGACTGTTATCAGTAAATATTAATCGCTTTTAAACTCAGAGTGTACTGACATACAGGTATATGAAGTTTTCTATCATGATTTATTACATTACAGTTTATTTGCCACCTAAGCCACCCCCAATTCTTAAATCTTTTAAGCACTTATTGATGCAAATTCTGTTTCGGCCAAATACAAGCATGTACTCTTTAATTTTTCTCACCTTTTAGAGGAACTGCTGAATAGCTTGATTATACATATTCTTGATGTAACCAAGAAACCGTTGTGATGCTTAAGAGCTATAAAGCCTACCCCTAACTCACAAACATTCATACGCAACTACCCGTAAAGGCATACTTCTCTGCAGTTGCACGAAGACATGCAGTCTCCAAGAGAATGAAGGAGCCAATTTGATTTTTTCCTTAAAAACTCCACATGCATTTTCAGAAAGCAGATTAAACAAAAACAGATTTCACAGAAAACAACAGGAACAGCATACACAAAGAAAGTTAAGCCAAGATTGGTTCCACAGCCAGACTCACATTCACTGCATGTGCTTTGAGCTCATTATGCTAAATCTGACAAGCTTAATTTCATTTTTAATATACTGACTTGTTTCAACTGCCATTCTGGTTTACATAGCTCACGAGGCCCTAAATTTGCAACTATGCAGAATGAAAGCAGATTTGGAATGATGGTCCTTTCCAGGTCTGACCTTCCCCACCCCCAATCTTGCACATCCGCTACTCTCAGCAAAACAATTTGGTTATCTTCAACATTCAGAAGCAGTTAACTGTGATCAGATCCCATCTACAAATGACTTACAGGCAATATTTTCTTCAGACCACAACGTAAAAACTCATTTCTCAAGTGTATCCTGAAATCAAGATCTTCTGGAGATGTAACAAGGGCATTGATGAGCTGCATACACGCTACCTGTTAATGGAAATATAGGCAAAAAAATTAGTATGTATGGAATGAAAATAAATACTGTCTTTGACTATTTCAGTTTAACTGTAAAACCAGATGTCAAGAGATTAACATTATTTATTATGCAGCATACATGCAACACCTGAATTTGGTTTATTTCAGCAGCATCAAATACTGCTCTGCTTTCATATTGTGAGTGCTTCTGCTATGTCAAAATTGTATCACATAAAGGATCATACTTCATTTCAGAAAGTTATTCCCACACTACAGTTCCACATTGCAAGTCCTTCTCTTTCTCCTCAGTATTCACCAACTTGAAAACAACCTGTTTTTACAGTCATCGAAAATTTTAAAAAAAGCAAAAGTAACCCACCCCAAACACACCCATACATGAAATAATTTGCATCACCAGGTGTCTTTTCCACTCCTGCAAAGCACTTTCGCAAAATGCCTGAAGTCTTAGGATACTGGCTAATGCTTCAATTGAACAGCTGTGCACTTTAATTGATTTACTTTAAAACAGGTAGACAATAGTGCTGATCCACATTAAAAGACTAAAATGGGACTCCAGGGAAATATCAAGTCTGGCAGAAGATGTCAACTGCAAACAGAAGTAGCATCAGAGTAGAAAAAAAATAAATAAAAATCAATAGCTGCAGAGAAAAGTCAGATACAGCACCCTTCCTGTTTTAATTACATTCACTATTTAGTTTTAATGAAACACCTTATGGAGTCTTAAATTTCTGTTAAAACACCCTTTCAAAGGCACTCCCTTTATATAGCTGCATCTTCTGATAATGTAGTATCATCATGCTCGCTTGAATGATTCTTGTTATTTTACTACTATGACGTGACTTAACAAGCCAAAGTACATGTCCAATCTGAAATTAATAGAGAGAAGAGGTACCATCTGCTATGATTGCTTTTGCCAGAAGAGACTCTGGCTTAATGGCTTGTGCTAATACATTACAAGTAAAGAACGATTTTGTCAGGAACAACTTAATGAGTCTTGCAATTGTACCTTTACTGAACAAGGTCATAAAGTAGAAGACAACTTCAAAATGAATTCTTCTATGATAGCATTATTAAGATTACAATGTCATTTATAGAAACTTATTGAAAATCGTTAACTCATGAGCTCTGAAACAAGAACCACTGATGGCAAACATAGCGTTCAGACAACTACAGCTGACATATATATGATCTAATAATGGAAAAGGTGTCGCTTCCACGCAGATACACCTGCCATGCTTGAATTCTACTTTTCCACGTCTTTCAGCCATGGTAGCTGAAATACAAATTTTAGCAATACAAAATCTGTATAAATACTGTATTACAAGCAGGAAATAACTCAAAGTCATCCTTCAGTAGGACATTCAGCCACTTAGGTCTCTATGTAAACACTTGCAGTTACCAATAAAAAGCAATTAAAAAAAGCTTGCATTCTGATAGCAACCAAAACTCCTGTGCTATTCAGGTACATACAGAGAATAAAAAACTCTGCCCACTGACACACAACCAGCAATGAACATGTGATGTAGGACATGACTCATAAACCATACTAGAAGTATGTTCCTACCAAAGGTACTTCAAACAGCAAGATACTTGAAGTGTATGCTCAGTTAAGGCATTCCAGTTGAGGTGGGTATTTGAGTTTAGTTTAGAACCACACGAGCACCACAAAAACTTGTTCTGTCTTTTCACAAATATATTACTTCAACGGAATCAGTTCAAAGCCCTAAGTACAGGAGGTTTTGTTTACTTTGGGTGGGGCAAGACTGGGGAAAAAGGAGGTGTTTAAACAAGCAATGCAACTTAAGAGTACTTTTTCGTGCTTCCTCCCTAAACCCAAATGATATACAGGGAGCACTGCCTCCAGCTCCTTAAACTCCAACTCCTCTGGGCTCCAGTAACAATAACTAAAATATTTCAGAGGACAGAGCTGGATTTTTTCGGTCCATTCAACCACACAAAATTCCCGATCAAGAATCACAGAATCACTGAATCAAGAAGATTAAGTAGTGACAAAGATAATAAAATAATTTCATAGACTTGTTACTTGAGCATTACATCTGGAATCCAAGAAAAGGAATATCACCAATTACTCTCTTCTTATTAATGTCAAGACTTATCAATCTTATTTTTGGGATGAAAAAGTGAGTTTCTTGGTTTCACACTGTTAACAATTAGAAAATCTTCTATCAGCAGGCCATTTCTATTTGGTTTTCCTCTCTTACTGAGTACTGAAGTAATAGCACTAAAAAATTTTGCTGGTTAATATTTTAAAGATCATAAAATAACACACAGTCTTCTAGTATTTCAGATTATTTCTGAAGTATGAGTAAGCATATAAAAAAGTAAACCCACCTGCAGCTGTAAGAATTCATGCTTTTCCAGCCCTTCAACAATCTGAGAAAAACGTTCCCTATTGTGCCTTTCGGCAGCAGTTGTTATCGCACCTAAAAGCTTGTCCAGACTGAGAGAAAGAGAAACTGTCAAAAAGCATACCACAGCCAGCTTTCTCATTTTAAAGATGCTTCGCCGCTATTTACACAACTCAAGACTTTAGTGTGCTGACAGAGACTCTGATCGCATTTATCTACACTTTTCTATATGAACTTGGAAATAAACCAAAAAACCAATTGATAAAATCTATAAAATTAATGTTGAAATTTAAAAAGTGAATAAATCTCTAAATTATTGTAACTTTCAGCTAAGAAACGACCAACGAGGGGAAAAAAAAAAAAATCACTACCTTTGCAAGATTGTGCACTAGGTACTAGCTGACATGTTTAACATCTGGGAATTCTAATAAACTGTCTTTGCAGAAAACAAAATGTTTCTATCTATTTATTGCACAGAACACACAGAGCTTGCCGTTTTTAACCTTCAGTAAACTAACACACTCAGTAATTCAAAGCAAACATATGCCAACCAATTATCTTTATTTTAAAAAAGCTCATGGACATGTGCTGCATAACTCTAACTTGAACTGTTCAAAACTTCAGTTATAAATGTAAACCTTTTGCTCCTGTCAAATCTGTTATGTTTAGGTAGAGAGGTGATATTTTAATAAAATCCATGCATATATTTATTTCTATATTATTATCTTCTGAACTAATGAAAAATCTTAATATGTGGTGTCAAATCAGTAAGTTTCAAATATAGTAAGTTCATCTCCCTTCCTGAGGGGAGATGCACCAGTCTTGATCCTCCCCACAATGACAGGCTCAGTAGTGCCCCATGCTACCACATACTCTTCTAAAGTGTCTTTAAAGCTGACAGCTTTTCTTGTGGCAATTAAAAGTTCACAATCCCTGATCACACTCAGAGATACACGAAATAACATATATCTTTTTTCAGCAGCCCCTTATGAACAGTTATGGCTCATTAAGTCTTCTCTACAGTAAGCAATCAGTCCTTTCAGACTTTCCACTTAAGCCGTGGTTTGTAGATCTCTGCTCCTTTGCTTCGGTCTGATCTAATACTGGATTAATGCATCAGAACAGGTAAAAGTCTCTTTTTATTTAAACTACATTAAGAAAGTAAAGACTTAACAGGTTACATTTTTTTCACTGACAAATCCCCTCACCTGTGTCCAAACTGACAACTCATGAGCATTCCAAAGAAAAAGAAAAAAATTTTTTCAATGTCATACTTACATATTTTCCTCTCCAACAATGCAGATAGCAGAAAGTATTTTCACTGTTTCGGTCATCATGTGTGGTTGCTTTGGGTCAATTGCTCTTGATAACAGCAAGAGACTTCTTTCGTCTCCTAGAATCCTTTGCAATCCGTACTTAAAGAAACAAAAAGCTTACTGTGAAAAGACTGTATTTGCCTCGAATACTCATCATCATCTTTGGGCTTCAGATCCTTAGGAATCCTCACGCCCCCTCACCCCCATATGAAGTTTGGCAACACCATACTACAACCTTCTGGTATTACCACTTGGGGACACAAGTCAGTTTTCCCGATCTTACATTTGAGGCTTTCTCCTAAGAAAGAGAGTGAGTCAGCTCCTACGGAAGATACCACATCTTGTAAAATCATGTATCCACCAAAAAACAAATCATTTCTAATTTTCCATCTATATCTGAAACACCTTAACAGCATGAAAATTTCTGAATTCACTCACCTTAAATCCATACTATCATCCTCTGTTGGCTAAATATTTTACTTCCAAAAAGGCATAATATGTAACAAAACTAAGACAAAATGCATATTGAGACAGGTTTATTAACAAGACTCTCAACAAAAAATTATACTAAGTTTAAGACCTGCATCTCCAAAGAGTCAGCTGACACTGGATATAGAAGCTTTCCTTCCTTTTCTGAGATTCAACATGCTACACAGATCTTGAAGTCAACAAAAAACAATCATGCTAGAAGTATTTGAACTTTAAGCATCTCTTACTTTATTGTTCATAAATGCTCTGAGGCACTGGATAAGTTTATGTTGATTCTTCTTATCAATACTTTCTTGCCTTGAAAGGAAGGAGGAAAATAACATAAGTACAAACAATCTTCACAAGCTCCCCCACCCCTCCCTTCAGATGATCTGAGTCCTTACTGTTTCTTGTCCAGAAGCTTTTCCAATGCATCCAAGAGAAGTCCAAGACCTTCATGTCCAAAATTGTTAACCCAGCTGGAAAAAGGAAGAAAAATACTTTCAATTTCTTAATCAAACGTAAAACTTGCAAAGTTATGTCTCCAATACTGCTTGTACATCTCTTCATAGATGCCGCTTTAAGTCTCACTTTCCAGGAAAACCTGATCAACCATTAAGACAAATGCTTACTTCCACCAACTAGGAGCTGTTGAGCACCGCTGTGAAAGGCGAGAACATACTGCACACAGTTGCAAACGTTTCACTTACCAATTTCCAGTGTGCTGAGAACTACTTTCTCATGCCAACAAGCATTAGCATAATTACCCTGGTTCCAAAAAAAACCCCACAACTCTTTATTGCTTAGAAAAAAACAGCATGATGAAAACTGCAGCAGAAATTACTTACCTGACTGGATTGCTAGTTAGAGACACTCTCAAAGACTCTAGACAATTAAGAAGCTTTTCCTCTGAAATTCCAGATCGCAATTCATGAATATATTCTTGCGAGGACAGTGTGCATTCATGCTTGCTGTTTTTCAGTCCACCCTATCACAGAAGACAGAACACTGCTTGAAATCACTTTTTTCCCTGTAAACTATTAAAGACACCTGACTTTGATTTGTCCTAAGTGTTTAATACTTTAGGTTTTGCATCACAAGGATAAATATTTTTCTGGACTCTTCTTCACTTTGACTAAAATGCATGCACTCCATACTGGATACAAAAATTTAATTCCATCATTCAGTTGTATTAGCATGTTTAACTGCTACACGCTCTCATTTAACATCTGCTTCACAACACCGTGATTAGAAACAACCACAAACAGACACACACAAAAACCTCCACACTTGTTATTAAGCTTGTCTGATCATTCCCACTGTACCTGCCCTCCGTTTCAAAAAAGCTGTGCACTAACACTATGGACATATCCCGACTCTAAAATCAGTTCTCTCTTCTCCAAAGGAAAAGAAGAAGATAATCCACTGAAAATGACTTCCAGAAGGAGCTGGTATGCATCAACTGTTAAATCAGTATTTTTAAAATCATGCAACCGCATGGCTCGATGATTTCTTGCTGTACCATGATTTCATGTCTGGCCACTAACAGAGCTCTCTAGGGGATCTTGTTTGCTACAAAAGAATCATATGAAAGATTTCACAATGAGCTCATCTCCCTGCTGACATGCTACTACAGAAGAATAACTGCCTACAAGGTATATCACTGGTAAAATACCTGACAATCAGTTTTTGAAAGCTGTAGTAATCATAACCATATACAAAGCATTTTACCAGGGGGTGTAACTAAGTTTTTGTACAGCTTTGACAAGCTGCAGAAAAGCAGGCTTATCTCAGACGAGTGGTTATGATTAATACGCAGTTCCTAAAGCTCCTTAGCTCTAAATGGTCTGTTGAAGAGAACCTGACAAAGATGTCATGGGTGTGAACGCAATATGAAAAGTGCCTGACCTGGAATAGGATTTATGTGTATTTGGTTTTAATTGTATCAGGAACCTCTCCAACTACTGTTATCTTCTAATTGTCTCTTTTTCAAAAAGCTACACTTTTTCCAAAGTTTCTGGTTTCTTCTATTCAAATTCTTACCGTTCATTTTCCAAAACTGACACTAAGTATGGCTGATGACAAAATGACTTGTCTACATTTAACTCAACAATTTTGACCTATATGCTTTCCAGTATTAACACATATAACAGAACTATGTTAATGTTTACAATATACTTTCAGATTCTTTCTCCTCACATCAACAAAACAAAAATCTGACAGACTGTGAATGCATTAAGACAACAGTGTCCTCTGGACTATGACAAGATTGAAGATGTTTCTTGCTGATATGCGCAGCACCTTTAGCTGGACAACACACACCAGTTATACACCAAAGGACCGAGGCAAAGAGGAGTAAATAGGACATAAAAGAACTACAAGCTGTCACTATCAACCTCCTCAACAAAGAGATGCCCTTCCACCGAAGGAACCAGAAATAAATGGAAGGTATCTGTATAAGAGTAGGAACGGACTTTAAATCAGATAAGTATACTAGCACTACATATTAAAAAACATCATAGTTCAGAAAAATCATCACTCTGAAAGACCGTAAGGTAAAGAACCAGAAAACAGGAACAGCTTTACACCATTCATTTCATTGGATGGAAACTGAGAAAGAGCTTATGTGTACCTAATGTCCGCCATCTACACAAAACTAGGTAGAGTTTTTGTCACTCGAGACAACAGCCGTTCCCCAAACCCTAAGGTTAAAATAAGAGAACAGAAGCGCTGCTGTAAGCCACAAAATTCTATAGAGAGATGACCTAATGGCCACTTCAGTCAAATGCCATTACATGTTAAGCCAGACCCTGAAAAGCACTCCAGAAAGCAAAAGGTATTTCTTTTTCCATACAGATTATTTCCTGCAGTTAGCCCTTCCACTGTGGTCTGCTGCAGGCTCCAAAGGAGATTCCCATTCCAGTGAGGCGTTTAAGGTCTTTGCTATGTTTTCTTTCATATTTAAACCGAGGTGTGCTCTTGCTGCCTCCTCTTTCTACCTGTCCAGGACACTAGTGAGGCCCCTCTCCTCTGCCTAGTGTCTTGTTTTCAGAAGACCTATGACTCCCTCAAAACCAGTTAAAATAGGTTAAAAGTTAGAGGAACTGGCAGCATGATCGCCTTAGCCTCTTTACCGTGCCTTACAGGACAAGCATGCTTCACTGTTTCTATGACTCGGCACCTTTAACTGCAGAGCAAAAAGGAACTCTCTCATCTTCCTTTTTCCCCCCTCTTCAGAACAGATGACCACTAAAGATGGCTCAAAAATCCACTCTCAAAACCTTTCACCCAAATACTCCAGTTCAGCTACAGAATTCTCAGCTTAACAGGATTACTTTCTGTTATTTTCCGCAACCAACTTTTCAGTCTCCATCCACTCTTACCTCTAGCCATGCTAATCAGAATGCTACAAGCAGGTGTTATTTCTTTTATTTCCCTATTCAAAGAGAGTTTGATCGGAATAGTATTTTTAAGTAATGCTATGCCTTTACATTGATTAGATTTTAATATATACACTTCTCATTTACTTTGAAGTACAAGACCTCAGTGAAAGATATGCTTTATGTGAGAGCATCTAATAAAGACCAAGGCAAAAGCAAAGTGCAAAGGAACTCAGAGGGTTAGGTCCCACACCAGAACTTTCAGAGATTAAATCAATGCTTAAGAATGAAAATCTTATAAATTACTTTACGACCAGTCACCTTCACAGTATTACAATTAAGTCATAGAATTATTAATTCATGACAACTCAAATGAAAGCCTGGACCAAACATTTTAAAATCCCTCTCTGAGGAAGTTAGAAATGATGACGTTTTAATGAAAAACTAAGCTTAAAGGAACTCCTGGAAGTCTCACACAAAAACACAAGCATATAAAAGAAAACCTAGTTTTCTTTCCTACGAAGGTGGCAAATCTAATCAATTCAAATCTGTGCATAGGGTACATTTTAAGGTTTAAGGGACGACAGTGACATAGAGACAGGACAGACACTTTACAGTGCAGGGTATAATGAAAAATAAGCTCCATTTACTCTCTATGCAAGTTTGTTTTTTAATATTTAGAAAACTAGGCAACAATTAAAATATTAGAGAGATTTCTGTTTCAGTTTATCTTACTCTACTTGGAATCCAGGTGATTTCAAAATTGTTAGCTAGACTAAAAAATTCCTCACCCAGGACTTAGCACATGTCCAGCTTTATAGGCTACTAAGATGTGCCACCAGAGGCCTGTAAACACGCCTGAGAACCAACCTCTAACAAAATGGGAAACCAAAAGCATTTTGCCCTCTATAGGGAAATAAGGAGATATTCTATCGACTTGGTGGTAAAGGACTGCGGAGCACATCTGAACCAAATGGATGGGCTGTAACAGTTAAAATACAGGTCAGAAAAGCCTGCACAAACTGCTCCTCTCTGGGGCACCAGACAATTCAGACCTCATTAGGTCTCAAGCTAAAGCTGAGTTCAGCTGAAGAAGTCCTAAGTACATTGCTACCACGAGACAGTGGTTACTTCAGTGAGAATGATGGCAGCCGGTACGTTGAATAGAAATCTCACAATATCATAGATGGTCACTTCTATCCAATTCACTATACCTGTTCTGTAATTTAGAAAATAAACCACTCTTCACACAGAAACAAGTAACTGGTACCACCAAAATTATTAATGAAGAGAAGTGATAACTTACACTTTCCCCCTCGCCAATGACTAACTGAAGAGTTTTTGCATACTCTTTATTAATGTAATTCAGTTTCTATGTCAAGCAAATAACCCACTATATTTTAATTAGAGTATAAAAAAAAAGTCAGATAAGACAAGTTTGGGGGGGGGGGGGGGTTTTTTTCTTGAGGGAAAGCACAACACGGGTTTGGGGGGGGGGGGTGTTGTTTGTCTTCAGGAAAGCAATAAAAGCATTTTCAATTATTTTTTTAAACCATGTATACTCTAGTTGTTGCACATTGGACTTAGAAAAGCAGTATCCTTGTTCAGCCTATGAGGAAACACCCTATCAGCTCCTTAACTACAAACTGGAAGTCTATACAGTTCATACACACTTCACCCTGTAGATATTAGCCAAACACATTTCAACCTCTTCAGCTGCCCTTTCAATGCAATTATCACTGTCCATAAAAGCAAGGAAAGGTTACTTTGCAGGCAGTTAACACGAAAAGTGGGCACCAGTGCTTGAGACCCCAAGTAAAACTCAAAAGTTAAAGCTTTAAACTCCCCATTAACAGGCAAACCTCTTGCCTACAATTGTCACTACAACCCAACAGCACTAGCATCAACAGCCCAAAACTCTTCTCCTCCCTAACCACAGTAAATCTGTAAATCTTCAGGAAAATAACTACTCATATCAGTAGATGCAATCAACTTGCAAAGGACGAAACCTATAAAAACATAAACTGAGAAGCAGCACAACAAGAGGCATGCAGTCTTTCAGCAACAATATGCAGAAGTCATACTCCAAGAGCAGCATTTCTTATTTTACCACTTTGCAAGTTATCTGTACAGAAGCACGCTTTTAGTGCGTAACTACTCTTGCTCTCCATCACACTCCGAACTAAAAGGCACACTGAAGAAAACAGGTATTACAGAGTTCCTCCACTGCCCATTCTGCACATACCAGTTTCCCCTCATAAAACAATCTCTTCACAAAACAGCTGTTCAGGCTAATTCATATCATAAGGAAATCACTTGGCATCAGGAAGTCCTTAAAACTGGTTTTGATGCACTGAACTGAAGAACTAATAATTTCTCCCCTCAGAAATGTAATACCTTTAACTACCTTCACTGTGCTTATGTGTTTTCCTCCACCAGTGTTAAGAACCAGTACTCTATATAAAACTAAAAAACACTGGTGAATACAACAGAAAAGTCTGTTTAAAGGCCACTGAATATAACAAAGCCAGCAGCAACTTCTTTATCCCTACATGCTATATGCTTATATATTTAAGTGCATCTGAAGTAATCACTCAGCAGTTTTAAG